AGGGGGCACTGAGGGATGAGGGGCAGGGGGCACTGAGGGGCTGTCTTGGTGCTCTGGCAGGGGGTGTTGAGGGGGTCAGGAGTGGGATGTGTCGTGGAGGGGGTTTCTGGGCACTGTGGCCGCGGGGGCAGGGGACTGTCGGGGTGTCACCGGGGGGGTCTGCAGGCGGTGTGACCACGGGGGCTGTGAGGAACGGGTGTTCCAGGGGAGCTCTGGGGTGGGACAGACCCCCTTGGGGGTGTCCCCACGTGTGTCTGTGCTCTGTGCAAGGGGTTTGTCCCCACGGCCTGTGAGTCACACAGGGGGATCCCTGGCATGTCCCCAAACCCCTCCAAGGTTTTCCCAGGGCAGGTCTGTCCCTCTGTGTCCTGGGGTCCCTGAGGGGGGCTGTGCCCCCACGAGGGACATGCTGCTGTGCCAGTCCCCAGAGCAGGCTGGCCCCCTTGTGCCCAGCCACCTTCCCTGTGTCCTGGCACATGGACTCACTTTGGGAATCTGTGTGCAGCTCAGGACAGTCCCTGTGTCCCTGCACTGAGGGAGGGCAGACCCTGCAGGCAGGATTGTCCTGGCACGTGAGTTGATGCACGGGGAGAGTGTCCCTGTGCCCTCCACGTGTGCCTGTCCCAGTGCCCCCTGTGCCTGCCTGGAAGGGAGAGAGTGTCCCCATGTCCTTGGGTGTCTGTGGCTGCCCTCCAGGCACGCAGGTGTACCCCTGGGAAGGGAGCATCCCTGTGTCCCTGCAGGATGGGGAGGGTGTGCCCAGGCCTGTCGGTGCATCCAGGTGCTCCACAGTCTCTCGGCTGAGAAAACTGGGATTGTTCAGCCTGGAGAAGAGAAGGCTCCAGGGAGACCTAATTGTGGCCCTCCAGTGCCTGAAGGGAGCTGGAAACAAGGCTGGAGAGGGACTATTTAGAAGGGCCTAGAGTGACAGGACAAGGGGGAATGGCTTCCCATTGCCAGAGGGCAGGGAGAGATGGGAGATTGGGCAGATATCCTTCCCTGGGAGGGTGGGGAGGCCCTGGCACAGGTTGCCCAGAGGATCTGTGTCTGCCCCTGGATCCCTGGAAGTGTCCAAGGCCAGGTTGGACAGGGCTTGGAGCAACCTGGGCTAGTGGAAGGTGTCCCTGCCCATGGCAGGGGTGGGGCTGGACGGGCTCTAAAGTTCCTCCCACCCAAACCAGTCTGGGATTCCATGATTTTGCCATCAGGCAGCTCCCTTGTGATCTGCCGGCCTGGGCAGGGCTTTGGGACCCTCCTGCCTGTTCACAGTGCTGGGTTGGTGCTTCCTGGCATTGCTACCCAGGCAGGGAGTCCCCAGGAGCCCTGGGAAAGCTGAAGGACCTGCCTGGGAGGCACTGGAAACCAGCTGTGTGTGTGCTTTGAGGAGCCCAGGGTTTGCCATCCGTGGTGACCCAAAATCCAGCAGCTTTTCATTTAACCCCAGGCCTGGACTCAGCAGTGCTGGGTTAAGGGCTGGGTTCAGTGCTCTGAAAGGTCTTTCCCAGCCTAAACAATCCCAAAGTTGTGTGATCATCCCTGTGTTACGTGCAGTGTAGGAGCAAGTTCCTACGTGACAGGGCACTGCAGTCACTAATGAGGAGACCTGTGGCAACTCCAGGGAGTTCCCAGGCTCTTGCTGGTTGGAATTCTTGTTCTTGGTGAAACTCTTCATCACAAACAGCCCCGGGGCTGCTCTGAGCCCTCGTTCTGCCTAACAAAGTGTTTGGGGAGGGCTGCAAAGCAGGCAGGGAGCAGGCAGGAGCTCCAGGGCTGGCTGTACCTGCTGGGCCACATCCATGTGCCGGCGGGTTCCCTGAGCTCCCTCAGTCTGTCGGGAGCTCCCCAGCTCACGGGTCTCAGCTCCGTGCTCAGCTCCCAGGGACAGCCTGGCCGGGTGTCCTGAGCTCCATCCCACTCATCCTGCTGGGCCTGGGGTGCTCCAGGGCTGGAAGAAGGCTTTTCCCCTGAGCCATCGGCCATGGATGCCGTTCCCAGTTCGAGTGGTGTGCCACGAACGGGTGAGTGGAAGGGCGGGAAGGGGAAGTGCTGGGCAGGGAGCTGTTTGAGGAAGTAACAGGGAAGAGGGAAAGTGGGAAGGAGCAGGTCCTGGCTGGGCCCTGGGACGGGGTGTTAGCTGTTCTCTGCTGCATCCAAGCCCTTGGCAAAGTCCTGAGAGGAGCAGAAGTGTTGGTGTCCCGGGGTTTGGATGGTCTTTGGGTTGGGGTGAGCGCAGGAGAGAGACTGGAATCGACTTGCAAGGCTTTAATTCTGGAGTGAGTGGTGGGCCATGGTGGCAGCACCATCTGGGCTGCTGCCTCCTGAAGCCTTTCCAGGAGGATTTTTCTGGCTCCGGTCTCGGCACGTTCCCGTCGTGGTGCTGAACGGATCAGCTCCTAAAGCAGATGTGCAGCGACTGGGACCAAGAGCTGCTTTAGTTTCAGAGGTGAAGGATGTCTCCCACAAATATTCTGGGCTTTAAAATAAACCACTGTCAGGCCAAAGAAACCTCACTCAAATTCAGGAGCTGTTCCACTGCTGACAGACCATTTCCCAAAAGGGTTTAGGTTCAAATGGAGTGAGATTTGTCCGGTTGTTCCCTTGAATTAATTTTTTTTCCTCCTTCATATCTTCCGTTTTGCTAGAACTGGAAGGCAAACGGGAATTCAGGGTTGAAGGTTTTCATGGGTGGAATCTGTTTGGAAACTGATATGAAAAAAGAAAGCCATGGGAAGAGGAAAAAACTTAAGAGAATCCCAGCCTGGTTTGGGTTGGGAGGGACCTTAAAGCTCATCTCATTCTGCCCCCCTGCCATGGGCAGGGACAGGTTCCACTGGACCAGGTTGCTCCAGGGATTGAGTGAGTGGCTTCAGGGAGGTAGTTCAGCCCTTGCTTTCCTTTTAAAGAGGCCGTGTGGCTGTTACTGGGTTAAAATACTGCTGTTAAAAGCACACCATGTCCTGCTGAGCAGCAGCTCTCAGCTGAGAACCTGTCGTCAGGCCACGCTTGGTTTTGTGGGAATTAAATGTTGGTGCTTGTTTTCCAGAGTACCTGAATCCAGCCTGCAAAAAGTTTAGGGAAATTAGTGTTGGAGGCAGCAATCGCAGGGTGGGTATTAAATACTCCCCAGTGGCTTTGGAGTGGAAATCAGCTCCCTCTCTGTTTATAAAATGCTCTGTGGGCACATGACACTCACACACGCACCCCAGACCTGTTTGCTGGGACAGCCTGACGCTGAATTTCCATCCCCACGGCATCACAGCGCGTATCCCGGGCTCTGGAATGAGAGCAAAGGTCAGTCCCTGCTGCCAGCACCCCGGACAAGGTGGAAAGGAGGCCAAAGTGCAGCAGGGCCCCGGCCCTGAGCCCGTGTCACGGGGCTGTGGAGGGGGCAGCACCTGTTGGGATGAGGTTTGCACTTCATTCCCCCTGCACCGGATTTTTCTCCCTTCCTGCCGCCGGGAATGGGAATGTTCCATCCCTAAGGGTTTTATCAGCGTTGGGCAGAACCCTCCCCTGGCTGTCTGGCCGTGTGCCAGCCTCTGGATGTGTGTGGGAGGCTTTGGAAGTAACCCTTTTACTGGACTGCAGGCTGAAAGCAGCTTTGTCAGGGGTTCAGCCTGGATCTGCACTCAGGGATCCTCAGGGGTGAAGTGCAAGGCTGCTGGGGTGGGACTGGGGTTCATTCATGTGCTGAGAGATCATGGGACTGGGGTTCATTCATGTGCTGAGAGATCATCAGGCCAAACACAATTCCTGAGCAGAGAGAGGAGATTTATGAGCCAGCAGCCTGTGGGCAGAACTTGTCCATCCCGTGCTCCGAGTGTTCCAAGGGCTCTGGAACAGGACACCTTTGGGTGCCCCTGGGTGTGGATCAGCTACAGGCCCTATGAGTCTCACACCACTGCCTGACAAGTTTGTGGAGCAAATCCTCCTGGAAACTGTGCTGAGGCACATGGAAATAGGGAGGTGATTGGTGACAGCCAGTGGGACTTCACTGAGGGAAAATCATGCCTGACACATTTAGTGTCCTGCGACGGGGTGACGGTGTTGGTGGGTGAGGGAGGAGGGACTGAGCCAGGCACCAGGGCTTGGGCAAAGCATTCCCACTGTCCCACACAACATCCTTGTCTCTGAACTGGGGAGGCAGGGGTTTGAAGGGTGGATAACTCGATGGGTGAGGAACAGACTGGATGGTCACACTCAGAGCTGAGATCAATGCCTTGGTGTCCAAGTGGACATCAGTGACAAGGAGCATTCCCTCAGCATTCCCTCAGGGGTTGGGATCAGGACCAGCATCCTTGTCAAGGACATGGACAGTGGGATCCAGTGCAGCCTCAGGGAGGTGCTGTCCCTGGGTCAGGGCAATCCCAGGCACAAACACAGGCTGGGCAGAGAATGGATTTAGGGCAGCCCTGCAGAGAAGGACTTGGGGATGCGGATGGGTGAGAGGCTGGGGAAGAAATTCCTGGCTGTGAGGGTGGGGAGGCCCTGGCACAGGTTGCCCAGAGAAGCTGTGGCTGCCCCTGGATCCCTGGAAGTGTCCAAGGCCAGGCTGGATGGGGCTTGGAGCAACCTGGGCTGGTGGGAGGTGTCCCTGGCCATGGCAGGGGGTGGCACTGGGTGATCTCTAAGGTCCCTTCCCACCCAAACCAGTCTGGGATTCTGATTATTTTGGTGATAGGTGGAGGCAGGAATAAATATTTCCTTGGCTTTTTGTGACCTGCCTGTTGTACCCCCTGAGGGGGGTACAAGAATTACCTGTGAGATAATTCTTGGCCTGGCACCGTGTGCTGGCACCAGAGTGTGTTTTTACAGAAATACCCCAGAAGAGTATACCAGAAATACCCAGAAGAGTACCCCTGTGTGTGCTCTGCAGGGAGTTTAACGTGCCTGAAACTCCCCAAAGTGCAGGAAGGGCCCCGGTTTGGCACGTGAAGAAGTGCTGGAATGAGCATCCTAAAGGCAAAACTCCCCTGTGCCACCTGCTCCTTCTCCTGTCAGTTCTCCGGGAAGAAGCCTTTGATTTTTTCCTGCTCTTGTCCCGGCGTTGCTGGGAGCTGCAGCGTGGGATCTGTGCTGGGAAGGTCACTGCAGTGCTGTGGGATCTGCTGGGCTGGCTCAGGCACAGGTCAGGCCCTAAGGGAAGGGACTGGCCCACGCTCAGGGTTTTCCAGATGCTGCCCTTGGCAGGCAGGGGGAGCTGGGAGAGAGTTCAGCTCCGACTGCCGAGGATTCCTTTAACATCTGCAGCGTCCCTCCCTTAGGTTATGCCTGCCGGAACATCTCCGCCTCCGCCGCCCTGCAGGGTGAGTGTGCAGCTTTTCATTTTGTCCCTGATGAAATTTAACTCCTAAAAAAAACCGTTCATTTGATTCCTGAAGTCCCCCGAGCACGAGCTGACGGCAGGTCTGTGTTTGTCTGCAGCCAGGACCCACGTGAGCTGTGACATCAAAGGGGACGTCGCCGTCGTGCGCTTCAACACACCCAATTCCAAGGTACTGAAAGTTCCCTCTGCAGGCTGAGAACTTCCCTGACCTGCAGCCTGACAAAGCTGGGAGCGAAGGAGGAGCAGGAAAAGGAGGGTTTGGGTGCTTGGTGAGACATCTGGAGATGCCTCCTGGAATTCTCTGCGTGTGCCAAGCTGACTTATTTCCGTCCCAGGCACAAGGTCTTAGGAAGTCCTAAATCATAAAGAAATCTTAAATCTTAAAAAAATTCTAAATCTTACTAAGCTCTAGGATTCAAGGCAGTTAAAAAGCGTGTCCATACTTCAGTGATTTGGAATCCATAAAGGCTTTTGATTCTTTTATCATCAGCACAATACAAATAGAACTAATTTTCTTTTTTTAGGTCAATACAGCTGCAGTTGCTTTTAGGTGCTGGAGGGCAGGAACCTCTGTAAATGGCATTTAAGGAGTCCATCTAAAAATGCACGTTGGAGTCCTGCGAACCAGCAATGAATTTCAGATGTCATCTCACAGATGGAAATGCTCTGTTATGAAGCAGCTGCAGAGCTTTTGATAAGAAAGTGGTTTTTAAAGCTAAACGGCTGAGCTGCTCTGGTACTACACAAGAGATAAAGATTTAACTGCTCCTGCTATGAAAGATCTTGTATTAATTGTAGCAGGCTTGAACTTTTTTTTTTTTAATATACACTTCCCTTCTGAGGAGCAACAACAGTCCCAGCTTTGAAACATCCTATTTTATGAGAGGATTTTGGTGGGGTGTGAAGAACCCAGGCTGGATTTGCTCTGCTGGTTGCAACCTTTCAGTGAGGCTGGGGAGATGCTCAGCCTGGTCTGCTGGGAGGTGTCTCTGCTCACTGCAGAGGCTTGGATGAGATGACCCTTAAAGGTCCCACCCAACCCAGCCCGTTCTGTGATTCTATGATTATACAGAAAAAAAAAAAAAAA